ACAATCCCCCCTGCAACTATAGTAGCTGTCTAACGCCGGCCCTGAACTCACCAATACTAGCAAACAAAAACACTCATAACAAAATGGCGCTAGCACCAATCAGAGAAGAGACAAAATCGGTATTTGCTGGTCGCATTCAGGGCCGGTTAGCGGGGCGGTCACCGTGGGCGCCAAATTTTAGGGGGCGCCAAATTCCCTTAATTTGTTCATTTCAGGGAAAAAAATAAAAGGGCGCCTCTTCTCATGTTTGCCCCGGGCGTCTAACGACGGCCCTGCTCCTGCCACCAGCCACCCACACACGGCATCACCTGACGTGTCTCCCGCCACCCTTGCGCCTTTTATGCAGCACCTGCTGCTGCACAATCCTTCCTGCAGCCATAGTAGCTGTCTCTGCCGCGGCCCCGCCTCCGCGCCCTATCGGCAGCCCCTGCGCTGATCCTGCCACCCACCTCCACACCACGGCATCACCTGCCGTTCCTGTACCTGGCTGAAGAGGAATGCATGGTAGCTACGTATGTATGTCGGATGCTGCTTTCTACAGGAGGTGGCCAAGGCGTGTATTATAATGGATATGGCGTTCATTAGTCAATGAGGGCATCTTGCCATGTGTATAATTTGTACATTGAAAAAGGCATATCCTATCATATGTTTATGGTGGCTAGCCGCAGGTTTAAGTGTGGCAGCAGCCATCGATTTATTTCAGGGTGCCTTAATATATATATATAAAATATATATAAACGACGACACATTCGTTTTATGTTGTTTTTGTTTGAACCTTAATATGTAAATAATCCAATAAAAAGGACTTCTAAAAACTAGCCAATCCTAAACAAAATTCATTGAGGAATCGGATAAAATTATTTGTTTAGGGCTGAGAATCCCAGCTAGCTAGTAATATTAAACGGAATATCAAAATTGACGAATTTCATAACACAAAACTTGGTTGACCAGCAACACTGACGGCACATTTAGTCAACATTTACGTTTTATGCTTTGGCCGCTTTTGTTTGAACCTTAATATGTAACCAATCCAATGAAAAATAGTTCTGAAAACTAACCAGTCCTAAACAAAATTCATTGAGGAATTGGATAAAATTATTTGTTTAGGGCTGAGAGTCCCAGCTAGCTAGTAATATTAAGCGGAATATCAAAATTGACGAATTTCATATCACAAAATATCACGGTATGGCAGCCCGCAGCTACTACGAATTGCAGGAGTCTGGTAACGTCAAAAAACTTGGTTGACCAGCAACACTGACGTCACATTTAGTCAACATTTACGTTTTATGCTTTGGCCGCTTTTGTTTGAACCTTAATATGTAAACAATCCAATGAAAAATAGTTCTGAAAACTAGCCAATCCAAAACAAAATTCATTGAGGAATTGTATAAAATTATTTGTTTAGGGTTGAGAGTCCCAGCTCGCTAGTAATCTTAAACGGAATATCAAAATTGACGAATTTCATATCACAAAATATCACGGTATGGCAGCCCGCAGCTACTACGAATTGCAGGAGTCTGGTAACGTCACAAAACTTGGTTGACCAGCAACACTGACGTCACATTTAGTCAACATTTACGTTTTATGCTTTGGCCGCTTTTGTTTGAACCTTAATATGTAAACAATCCAATGAAAAATAGTTCTGAAAACTAACCAGTCCTAAACAAAATTCATTGAGGAATTGGATAAAATTATTTGTTTAGGGCTGAGAGTCCCAGCTAGCTAGTAATATTAAGCGGAATATCAAAATTGACGAATTTCATATCACAAAATATCACGGTATGGCAGCCCGCAGCTACTACGAATTGCAGGAGTCTGGTAACGTCACAAAACTTGGTTGACCAGCAACACTGACGTCACATTTAGTCAACATTTACGTTTTATGCTTTGGCCGCTTTTGTTTCAACCTTAATATGTAAACAATCCAATGAAAAATAGTTCTGAAAACTAACCAGTCCTAAACAAAATTCATTGAGGAATTGGATAAAATTATTTGTTTAGGGCTGAGAGTCCCAGCTAGCTAGTAATATTAAACGTAATATCAAAATTGACGAATTTCATATCACAAAATATCACGGTATGGCAGCCCGCAGCTACTACGAATTGCAGGAGTCTGGTAACGTCACAAAACTTGGTTGACCAGCAACACTGACGTCACATTTAGTCAACATTTACGTTTTATGCTTTGGCCGCTTTTGTTTGAACCTTAATATGTAAACAATCCAATGAAAAATAGTTCTGAAAACTAGCCAATCCAAAACAAAATTCATTGAGGAATTGGATAAAATTATTTGTTTAGGGTTGAGAGTCCCAGCTAGCTAGTAATCTTAAACGGAATATCAAAATTGACGAATTTCATATCACAAAATATCACGGTATGGCAGCCCGCAGCTACTACGAATTGCAGGAGTCTGGTAACGTCACAAAACTTGGTTGACCAGCAACACGGACGTCACATTTAGTCAACATTTACGTTTTGTGCTTTGGCCGCTTTTGTTTGAACCTTAATATGTAAACAATCCAATGAAAAATAGTTCTGAAAACTAACCAGTCTTAAACAAAATTCATTGAGGAATTGGATAAAATTATTTGTTTAGGGCTGAGAGTCCCAGCTAGCTAGTAATATTAAACGGAATATCAAAATCGAGGAATATCAACGTTGAATGTTTTGAAAAAAAAAATCGATACTGCCGTAATAGTATCGGGCTCAAATAATTATTAAAAAACCATTGAAACCTTTTAGGAACTTGTCCATTGTAAAAATTAGATGCCACCTGTCGATTTTTTTTACAAATTTGTATTCGTATTTTATAGCAGCTAATCCAAACATATAAAAAGCGCAACGACTGTAGCTCGATACTATCATGCTAGTCGCAAAACCGTCGATAGTAGAGACTAGCAGTAAAATATCGATACTATCGATAGTGCCCTCGATGGTTTGACAACTCTAGTATGAATGTATTCATTCGAATGTATGAATGTATTCATTCGAATGTATGAATGTATTCGCCTTTTGGCCATGCGCCTTTTTGGCAGCACCTGCTGCTGCATAATCCTCCCTGCAGCCATAGTAGCTGTCTCTGCCGCGGCCCCGCCACCGCGCCCTATCGGCAGCCCCTGCGCTGCTCCTGCCACCCACTTCCCACACACAGCATGTATGTATGTATGAATGTATTCATTCGAATGTATGAATGTATTCATTCGAATGTATGAATGTATTCATTCCAATGTATGAATGTATTCATTCGAATTTATGAATGTATTCATTCGAATGTATGAATGTATTCATTCGAATGTATGAATGTATTCGCCTTTTGGCCATGCGCCTTTTTGGCAGCCCCTGCTGCTGAACAATCCTCCCTGCAGCCATAGTAGCTGTCTCTGCCGCGGCACCGCCTCCGCGCCCTATCGGCAGCCCCTGCGCTGATCCTGCCACCCACCTCCACCCCACGGCATGTATGTATGTATGAATGTATTCATTCGAATGTATGAATGTATTCATTCGAATGTATGAATGTATTCATTCCAATGTATGAATGTATTCATTCGAATTTATGAATGTATTCATTCGAATGTATGAATGTATTCATTCGAATGTATGAATGTATTCATTCGAATGTATGAATGTATTCATTCGAATGTATGAATGTATTCGCCTTTGGCCATGCGCCTTTTTGGCAGCCCCTGCTGCTGCACAATCCTCCCTGCAGCCATAGTAGCTGTCTCTGCCGCGGCCCCGCCACCGCGCCTTATCGGCAACCACTGCGCTGCTCCTGCCACCCCCCTCTCATCCATCGGCATCACCTGCCGTTTTGCAAAGAGAATTGTTCGGCTTGTCGCAAGACATTTGATCAGTGTCGATAAAATGGATATACCTGAAGATATAGCGATCCAAACCTGAAATTAGCCTCTGTTTTGAGGGTTCCTTGACTTTGGAATTTTTTAAAAATATTTTTCGTATCGTATAAGCCTGTTTTCAGATGTTAGTTCTTTAGGGGCATTCATTACCAACAAAATGAGTTTGTCGAAAGAATACCAGAGCTATGCATTGCTTTTGGGTAATTGCCATCCAGTTTTTAGATTCGGCTGCATTTGCCGCGCCCTATCGGCAGCACCTGCGCGGATCCTGCCACCCCCCTCCCACTATCACCTGCCTCCCCTGCCGTTCCTGTTCCAGGACCTGTTCCTGTTGCAAATGTTGCGGATCAGGATTCCGATTAAAATTTGGGATCAGGATTGCAGTTTAACAAGCCCTGAAGGCATAGCGACATATCTCCTGGCGACATATCTCCTGGCAGGCTCTAGCGACATATCTCCTGCTGAAAAACGTATGCCAGGAGATATGTCCCCCGTTAATTACATATGTAAATATATTCTGGGGTGAGGTGATTGGGGTGTTGCGGATTGGGATTACGATTGAAATTTTGGATCAGGATTGCAGTTTAATGTGACGTTGAAGACGGTGTCTTCCGAAAGGAGAAGCTATTCGAGGCATTCGTATCCTTGCTGGCCAGTGATAAGCGGAGTTATGCCCGTCCGCAGAGACCTGTGACGAGTTGATAAAACTGTCCTTCTGACCCTCGAGGTGTATCTCCTCCTATATCTCCGCTTAATTACGCTGTGCTGCGTTTATTAGCGCCACAGTGCGCTCTAGTCGCTCGACCGCTCTCTCTCACTCTCTCTCTAGCTCTCTTTGCAACACGCGAAACCCTGAAATGGCAGTCGGCAGACTCATAAGACTCTGGATTATCATAGATTACAGGAGCAGCCGCGAGCCAACTCATTCATTGTTTTCACTGTCATCCCAACACTGTATAAGCAAACCCGGCAGACATACTCGTAGAACCTGCCAGTCATCATCAGATTGCAAAGTCGACCAGCCAGTTTATAGGGCACCTATTATTTCCTTCATTCTGATAAAAATCATTTCTCCTTCTTTTTTTCTCCACCATAAGCCGAAAATTGTGTTCCTTCCTATGAAAAATATATACATTTTCCCAAATAAACACATTTTTTATTTTCAGGGAGATTATATTAAGTACAAATCTCACAACAACGCAATGATTATATTAATGAAATAAATACAGGCGTGGAAAATTATGACGATAGTGTGACATCTCAAGAGTCAGCTCCTCAAAACGCGCCACAATGCGACCACCAGTAGCAATGGCGGGGAGCTCCTGCTGCATCAGGAGATGGTTGGCTTTGTCGTCGTAGCGCCGGCGTCCTTCACTTGCTTGACCATCTAAGTAAACTTATCCTGCTCGCAGTAGCGCAGCGCCCCGTAGTCCTCGGTAGAGGTGACTTCCAACTTATGCTGGAGGGCTCTAACAGGTAGGCTTCACATTTCTGCACTCCTTGGGCATTTACAAGTGGCTAAGAGTATTGTCCTGATGCTCTTGACCATGCTCTTGTCCAGATCCTTGAGTCCGGGACAGTTTTCACAGTCGTCTGTGTCAACTCCTCCTTATTTCTGTTTCTTCTGGTAGAAGATGGTTCTGGTAAAAGATGGCCATGTAAGTGCCGTTCTCCGGCAGGCACTTGTCAATGGCCTCGTCGTACTTGCCATTGCGATAGCAATTGTTGCCCCCGTTCTGGTAGCTGTTTGCCTCCTTAAGGGGAGACAGTTTCTCGCCCAGCTCGGCAGATTTCTGCTTACGTTCCAGTTCCTTGTCCGGCGCTGTTCCGTCAATGGATGTCGCTTGCTTCTCGATTTTCCCCTTGGACCGTTTAGTTTCTTCGCCCTTAGACTCGCCGACAGGCGTGTCGTTCATCCGTCTGACCACATAAGTGCCCAGGCCGATGCCTAGGGGCGTGCCAATAAATAACGCAATCTGCCATTTGCTCAACTTTATTGAGCTAAAGTTGAGGGCCATTCTGATGAAGTATGTCTTATGTTGGGCTGCAAGTAAATAATACAAAGAAATTGTGTAATAGTCCGTTTGCTTATCAACCAGCACGGGCCGGACTGGGCTCCGCTCCCGCTAAATGCTGGTGGGCCCTAACCACTCAAACCCATTGATTTTTTCACCACCACGGCACAGTACTTACTGTTTAGCGAACTTTACACTGAGGTCAATTTAGCAACTATTAGTTGCCTTTCAGGATTAAAGGATTTTACAAGGAAATTGTTTACCAGGTGATCTATTATTATGTACAAAAAACAATAAATATATCCACTTTTTAATTGTAAAAAATTTGTGTGCCTATCGATAAAATATACCGCCCTTACCCTCAGAAATATACCGAATTATACCTTGACATTATCAAAATATACCGTAAATATACTGACGGACAGCACAATTCCTGATATTTCTCGGTTTTTATATTCGGTTTATTATTGCTAGCTAGTTAGCCCTCTCAGCCCTAAAAAAAATAATTTTATCTAATTCATCAATAAATTTGGTACAGATTGGCTAGTTTTCAGAACTGTTTTCACTGTCAACTCCTCTTTAGCGTCCTATGTTCGCACGGGCCTCTATATTTCTCATGCATGCATTATAATATAATGATTATATACTATTAAAACACACAAAAATATTTTTAGCGATAGACTTTCACGGTTCCCCTTAACGTTTCACAGCACTGAACGATTATTTTAAATTTGAAAATCGCGGCCTCATGACTCACAAAATGTAAGGCTATAATAAGTGAACTAATGGAATTTGAAAGCAAATATTAAAACATATGTTAGTACATATTATAATAATGCGTATTAATACTTTAAAAGGCGCGGGCCAAGCTAATTTTAAAACGGCTGTGCACATGCACATGACTACAATCGGTGCCCGTTCTCCGATAGTTGGCAAACAAAAAATATATCAGGTCGATACTATCGATAGTGGTATCTCTGTACACTACGCACATTTTCAATTCATTTAATTTAATTTTATAAATATTGCAAAAGGCGGTAATTGTCAAGTGCGTAATACGATGCTAGCTCAAGCGCTTTCCAGCATCAAGGATCGAGATTTGTGAGCGCACTGCCTTTTCATGCTTGGACTGTGATTACGCCAGCAGCAGCAACGCTACAGACAGTCGGGTGGCTGTCGCTGAGACGCAGAGCAGAAGCAGAGGCAGTGACGCCATTTTCTGTGCGAATAAAGAGCAGGTGGGGCCACACCACACAACACCACTGAGACGAGACACGAGCTGTGCTGGCTCGTGACCAACTGGAGCGTTTGAGATTAGAGCACACTCGAGAGGAGAGGATAGGCATGAGCAGCCTAATAAACTTCCTCAACCCCAAACTGAAGCCTTCCGTGGAATGCGAGGCCGTGTGCGAGGACGGCTACACGGCGGACAACCTGATAGCTAGCGATAGGGAGCAGCTGGAGCGGGGTTTCATGTGTTTTGCGGTCTGCAAGCCGCCCGTCGAAATAGTCTTTGACCTTCCCAAAGCCATCGACATGAAGGTCATTAAGCTGTGGCACACCTCCGGCGCCTTTCGCTCCACGGCCTTCGAGGTTCACAGCAAGTACGACGGAATCTGGGAGCGCGTGGCCAACGTCCGCGACCTATCCAAGGGCGTCGACTCGGTCACCTTCTGCTACCAGAGCGACTACAATTCCCGCAGTAGCGCGGCTGCTACCCAGCATCAGAGCGAGAAGGTGTTCTTCTTCAAGACGGCCCACAAAATACTGGCCAACACGAACAGCGTGAAGGTCGTAATCCGCGCCACGGAGCGCTGTCCCCCGGTGCTCCGCAAGATTCAGATCTGGGGCCTGCCCGCCCGCTCCCTGGACAAGGGCGACCGCGAGCTGATGAAGACCATCTGGAGCGAGATTAGCGATCCGTTCGGGCAGCGGGACCAGGCACACCACTCAGTTGGACAACGGTCCCCCTCTCGCAACATACCTGAGCTGCGCGAGCAGTCGACGTTGTCGTTACCCGAAGAGTTCCTCGACTCCATCACCTGGGAGCTAATGGTGAGACTCGGTGTTTTGAAATCCCCGTAGTGTTGCTCACGGGTTTCCTTTGATTTCAGATCTTTCCCACGGTGCTGCCCTCCGGCAAGGTGGTCGACCAGTCCACTATTGACAAGCACGCTGTGGAGGAGGGCAAATGGGGCCGCCAGCCCTGCGATCCCTTTACAGGACTCGAATATACCCCACAGCGCAAAGCAGTAATGAACCTCGCACTCAAGGCGCGCATCGAAAAGTTCCTAATGGAGAACTCGGAGCACTTTAAGACAGTGCCCCGCTCGCTGGGCAGTTCAAGAATGCGCCGCCGCCACGCCTCCCAGTACGCCAGCAGCATGTGCCAGCCGGGACAGTGTAGCTTCGCCGCCGGGACCTACTCCTCGCTCTCTAGCGCGTACAAGCAGCAGCAGCGCAAGACCAAATCCACAGTCACCTTCACGGCCACCTCATCTACTGCAGCTTTCCTAGGCCAGTCCCCCGCCTCGCCGCCGGCTGCGAAGCGGGCCAGACACAGCCACCACTCGGCCAGTGCCACCGTCACGGCCAGCAGCGTTCACCAGTCGCTTGCAGCCGCATCTACCTCGACGACAGGTCCGTCTTCCATCGACCAGGCCCTCCAGCAGGCTCTGCAGAAGATCACTCGCTTCACCCAGGTCGGATCCGTTGCAGGATCTGGAACACCGCCCCGCTGCATCAACTGCCGCAGCAGTCAGTTCGGCTATGAGATCCGCACCTGTCACCATCTGGTCTGTCGCGAGTGCCTCGTCCTGCTGTCGTCGACCCAGCAGTGCGTGTGCAAGGTCAGCTTCCGGGGGGCGGACGTCGAGCGATACCACAAACTGCCGTAGTGCCGTAGTGCCGTAGTGGATGAATATGGACCCCTTTTCGTAGTCGTACCGTAGTTTACTGCTTCGATCTAAGTTCGTTTGTAAGTGCTTTTGTTGCCAATCCGGGAACTGCAGCCTTAAGCTGGGACCGTTTCTCCAATCTGTAATATCAATAATTTCCTTTTTAGCGATTTCCTCTCCAGTCGTCAGGTCCTCATTGTTCAGTTTGTAAGTGAATCGCTTAAGCAGCGTGGCCTCAATCTACGATTAGTTATATTCATATCAGACTCGATTTTAGGAGGGGAGGTGAAAGTAGCGGACTAGAGATTCAAATTCAAGCCAAAATGTGTACACTCGAGCTGGTGCGGCATCTACCACCATGCCACGGGTCGATTGGCGTTCCCAATTTCAGTATGTATCAGTGTCAGGTCACTTTTAGTCATAGAACAGATTAGCGTATAAAGCACGCATAGTTTTTGTAGACCGTTTATACAATCCTCTAAAAGACAGGATATTCAGCGCGTGGTTTATATATTCATACCTATTTCATAGAATAAAGAACAATAAAAATTAAATCGATTGTAATCAATTAAATATTCCCATTGGAGTTTACGTGTAAAAAGGTTTTGGTCCAAATGCATTTTTCTCCACAAGAACGCGTTGGCCAGTACATTCGGGATGCCACCATCCAGGGACTAGGTATTGCTCAACAAGCAGCCAATGTGGCAGCCACAGCTAGACCCTGAAGTTTGTCTACAAATTACGCGCACCTAATTAAAAATTATTTAATTTATTTTATCAAAGTGACCTTTTATAATGACCTAAGTAAATAAACACATTTTAAATTGAAGCTATCGATAAATAGATTACCAATTTAAACGTTTTTGAATTTCGCTTATCGTTTGATTGAGTTGCCGTTAATTCCTCAGCACTTTTGTGCCAACCTTTTGCCGCACGCATAAATAAATATGTACATACTCGTATGTACATGTACATCCAACTAAATCGGAGCTGGGATCCCAAAAGCTTTCTACGATCGAGCTGCCTAAGGGGATTCCAATCTGATCCAATCTTGTAATTTTGTTCGATAGAAAATCCCCGACTGCAGGTTTTCAGCATCTCTTAGGGCTTCTTGACTGCAGGCACTATAAAAGCTGCCTCTCGTGGTAGTTAGTTCATCAGTCGCACAGCTCTCCCAGCAACATCAACAGCATCAGGAACATTTGCTTTTATATTTTTTTTATTTTTCTCCAAGAATTTCATCATGAACTTCTACAAGATCTTCTTCTTTGTTTCTCTGATCTTGGCCATCAGCGTGGGACAGTCGGAGGCCGGTTGGCTGAGGAAGCTGGGAAAGAGACTTGTAAGTCTAAAACCAGATCAATAATTCATATTTAAGCTAATAGATATCATTCGCCTCAGGAACGCGTTGGCCAGCACACCCGAGATGCCACTATTCAGGCCGCCAATGTGGCAGCGACAGCCCGAGGATGAAGAGACCCTTAGAGACCAACAGTCTGACTATAAAAATTTAATTTATTTTCATAAACTTAATTCCTTGGGTAATTCTTAAGTAAATGTAAAATCTTTAAATGAAACTCACTTAAATGTTTCATGATATACATAAACGTACTTGAATCATAATACTATGATTCCATTAATGAATGTAATTTCTCGCGGGTGAATTTAATCCCACCACTTCCATCTAGAAACCCTCGCATACACTGAAGTAGATCGATGCCGCTGATGCCGCGTCGCGAATATTTAAGTTTGATGGATCGCCTGATCGGCCAATTGCGCACGTTCCGGGGAAAGTGGGGAACTTGCAGTTCATCAATGCGATCCCAGCTGTGGTTTTTTTATCAGCGCGTCTCTGCTCTCTCAATAACAGTTCTGGGGCCTTGGGCCCGCATCTGGTGATTCCCAGTCGCGAATCGGAACTGTCTGCAATTTATCGCTTCACAATCAGCTCAGCACGGGCAAGATGTTCAAACATTGACACATCCAGCCATTCTCTCCAGGTAGACTGGTAATTATCTTTATGCTAAATAAGTGGGGGGATGCCAGACAATGCAGGTTTGTCTTAGTCATCTGGATTCTAGATGATGATTCCCTGCCCTTGGAAAGCATTTATTTAATTTATTCTTTTTCTATGTATTCGAACTTTTCCCTTGCTTTGTTTAGCTCGATTTAAGAATTCTCTCCAAGTTCTCTTTTACAATTGAAGTTTACTGGGTTTCTGGGACTCCTCTCCGACTTGAGTATATTCAGGAACCAGTTGCGGTATTTACTGACTCACATGCGCTGCTGTGGACTTGCAACTTGTTTAAGGACAAGCCGTGTCAGTTATGACACAGAACTTTCGTTCCATCCCACTTCCATTGTGTCTCCTCCTTGTGGCAAGTCTCCTGCCACTTGTAGCTATCACTCAGCGGTTAATTCGAGCGATTTTATTTACATTTTGTAAGGCAACAGGACCGGAAAGGAGAATCAGAAGCAGCTGTAGCAGTAGCAAAGTCTGTTCTGTGGCATGAGAGTGGAAGGCAAAGTCAAGGCCCATGATGAATAAAGCGTTTTTACTTGTTAAGGAAATTAGTGGCATATCCTGACAAGGCGCATATTATTCTACCCCCAGCTGTCTCTGGTTTTCTGTGTTTGTGTGTGTGTTGTTTATGCCTGGCTTACTTATTTAATTCATTTGTTGTCTTTGCTTTAATTCTTTTCTCTGCTCCCTCATCATTGTTCTTGTTGTTGGTTTTTTATGGTTGAAATTAAAGTTACATTTTTGGTGGTGGATATGTGAACGAAGGTCCGCCGACCCGACCCAGAGCCACCAACCCCTTGCCAAAGTCCATGTACAGTTGTGTGCGAGGACTTTTTGTGCTGAATCCCCCTCTTCGGTGTATCAATCGAATAAAGCTGTTATCAGCATGCTATGATATTATCTGCTCTGATCGGGGATCCACAGTCTATCTCGATTTTTTTCGTTGTCTTTATTGTCGAGCAGAGAAAATCCCCGGCAAATCGAGGCCTTATCAGCATCGTTGGAAGCTCTCGCGCTATATGAGCTTTCTGTCGTGCCAGTCAAATCATCAGTCACACAACGCATACAGCAACAGTATCATCAGCAGCTTTTGCTTTCTACAATAACAGGATTACTCCAAGAATCTCATCATGAACTTGAACAAGATCTTTGTCTTTGTTGCTCTGATCCTGGCCGACAGCGTGGTCCAATAGAAAGCCCGCTGGCTGAAGAAACTATACATGAGACTTGTAAGTCTAAAACCAGATTAATAATTCATATATAAGCTAACAGATATCATTATTTCTAAGAACGTGTTGGCCAGCACACCAGAGATGACATCTTTCAGGTTGTGGTGCTCAACAGGCCGCCAATGTGGCAGCGACAGCCAGAGAATGAAGATTTAACTCCGTGGAACCTTCTAGAATAGCAAAATATTTATAAACCTATTTATAGGTGGGAGTCGTAATTGTAGATCAAACTAGAAATATACTATTATACATCTCGTGCGTGCCGTGAGTCCAGTGAGTCTTACTGGTTGGGAAACTCGAAGTTGATTACAGTTTCCCAGGGTTGGTTCTCTTAGTTATCCTCTGATTTCTAAAGCATTCACAGTGAACAGCACAAGTGTAATGGGCTCCCTTGGGCAATAGACCTCATGTCCCCTGCCCACCGCCTCTTGTTGGTGGTCATTTGGATCAAAAAACGCGTTTAAATGTCAAAACACTCGTGAACCTTTTTCGGTGGGGTTCTGGAGCAATTTGAAGTTGAGATGGGTTCTGAGAGTGCCCTTGGCCCATGTGTATAGTATGTTGTGTGTTCTGCTGGTAATCTGCTTTGATTTGCTTACATGAACGGAGGTCGCGACACGTGACCGCAAAGTTTACATTAAATTATCAGTGCTCCCTGTGAAAATATATTATGGAGTAAAGGAAAACAATGAGAACGAAGTTATGAGAATTTGAGGAGCTCTTAAAATTCGTGACGGGGAAACGGAATCCCAATCCCAATCGAAAGCGGAACAGCATCCAAATTGAATTTAAAGACAGTTTCAGTGTCGCATAGTAGACACGGCCTAATTACATGACATCTCCAGCGGATTAAGCCAACTCGCCTGGGAAATCGACAGCGTGGATGTCGCGTCCTTCGCTGCCGCCTCAGGCTCTAAAGCGCTAAAAGCCAGAGCACATGCTCCGAATTATTGACAGCTTTGTCCACGGCGGAGTAGATTGGAGAAGCGAAGCGGAGCAGCATCATGTGCCAGTCAATCATTATCATCAGAGTCGCCTCAAAACTCAACTTCAAATGACAGAAGAGGCACATGCGGAGGACAGAGGCACGGCAGGAGCAGCTGCCAAATGATTTGAATAACAATAAAGATCAGCTTTTGTCTGCCGGCTGTAATTTGTAATTTATGCATTGATTTCCTCACTCTACCTCCCTGCCATCGCCATCTTCACACCACCATCACCCGTACCGTCCCCCTTCGCAGAGTAATAATCATTTTTAAATTACATAAAAAAACTCGCTCATCTTAGAGTAATTTCCTCCGACCGCCCACCCGTTGCGCAGATTGTAAAAATTGTAAAATTGAGAAATTTCATAAAGCAAATCCAGGAAAATCATCCGTAAGCCCCTCGAACAGCACTCGAAAGTATGTAGGAAAAAGTGTAATATGCGTCGCAGCTTCATCTAGGGGTATAAGTACTAATATATCTGGATGTGTGGCCCCCCCCCGAGCACAGTTCCCCCTCCAGCGATGCAGTGGTATAGACTCTTCAGAAATCGTTTACAAACCATTGAGAAGCCGCCGATGTATCAATAATATTTGAGCATGAGCGGCTCGACTCGGCATCAAAAGGTGGTGAAAGTTGTTTTAAAATATTACCCACAGAAGGTCGAGAGAATGGGAGGAGTGAGATAGGAGAGTGCTCAGCCAAGAATAATGTTTGAGTTAATTTCTTTTATGGCTCAATATAACCATTATTTGCACTACTCAAGCATAATCGGCAAATTTAAATTCAATTCGTGCCTACCCTCAATGGCAAGTTGTGGGGATTTCCTTTAAAGTATTGGCCGGGGGGAATATGGAAAATGGTTTTGGCCTGGCGGATGTCAGTCGCAGTCGAGTGAGATTTACCGCATTCCCTTCTGGACAAAGAAATGCGGTTTTTGTTTGGCTCCAACGTAACGATTTCATTTGTGCGACAATTTATCATATTTAAAAAGCCATAATCTGTGCGATATTCAGAAAAGGTATACTTTAATAGTATTCCCCAACAGTTAACGATTTCGTGCTAGTTGTATACTCCACTTTAGTGTGCTACATTTTATCACCGACAAGTCGGTGTTCCAGTGCCGCGACACTGGGAAAACAGTGAACAAAAGTGAATATACATACATACATATGTATGTATCTTCATATAAGATATGTTTCCTTACTCTCTCTCTCTCTCTCTTGTCTACTACAACTGAATGAGTGTAGGAGTAAATATCTGTGTTGAGGACTTATGTGAGCATGAAAAATGTCAAGTCGGAAATTACATTTCATACGCAATTTCGATTCCGACTCCTTTCGAAACTGCCATGGACAAGATTTATTGCCAGCTTGACGATTAACAAAGGTGGCCCCTTCCCTTCAACTTTTTACACCGCTTCATCCACAATGCCCCTCAGCCCTTTCGGGGATGCGACGCAACAATTTAATAAACAGTCAAATAACAATGGGAGCGCTTTTGGGTGTCTTTTCAGGGCAAACGAAATGAAATTGCTTGGCCTGCTAGACATTTTTTGTTATTCTGCGTATATCCTGCATTATACTCAGCCATTGAGCTGAGGTCCTGACAGCATATAACTCCTCACCCAAGGGCAATAAAATCCTTTGAATAGTTGTCAGCTTCCAGACGAATGCCCCCAATAACAGACCAGGGCAGAGTCCCCATCTGATCAGATCGTGTGAGGATAGATAGAACACAATCCGAGGAATTCCACTTATGAATATGAATATAAGGATGTTAAAGCTCTGATTGAATGCCTGCCAGAGAAACTTATGAGTTCAAACTTTCTGAGAATCAGAAGGGGCATTTGAGAATGAGTAATGCAAATCTCAGAGCTGATGGCTCTTAGTTCTACTGATGTTATGTGCCCCCTTATAGATTGAATAGCTGATTAGACTATCTACTAAAAGCTGGAAGCAAACATAAAGTGAGAACTCGCACAGACAAAGCACCAGTATGTCGGATATCAAGCTATTTCAATACTATTTTTTCATCCTAAGGAAGTTTCCAACCACATTATTATGAATATATTGTATTTCCCTTTACTTCGCTGACCATTTTGCATTAATTAATTTTCATTGCGATAAGCGAACAATCCAATTAAAACTGGCATCGCACACACAAAACTTTTGACTTTTAATTAATAACAATTTGACGCATCAGCAGCTTCTCCACCAACATCAGTGGACCCCCGTCCCTGCCCCTTCCACATCGAGCAGTATTATAAAGATAAAAGAATCCGCCCGACCAGGCTCGGGCAGAAGGAGAGACATTTCTATCTGACAGGCACACGTCAAATTCCGGCGAGGCGTAAATTAATCTTGATCCCGGGCAGCCTCAGAAGCGTCTGCGAGTGGCGAAAAAATTATTAAT